GTCTTTGAGTAATGATTTTCATGGTCTCTGTTATATTCTTCATCAGATGCTGCTTTGCATTTCTAGCTTGCAACTAACTTTTTTACACAATATAATCATGTCATCCAATATTCCAGCAATTAGGAAGAAGTGATTTTCAGGTTTAAATAAGGCAAAAAGATATAAACATGGTTACATTGTAGATGCTCAATGGGAAAACACATTCTTGCTCTCCCCATCATTTATTGCATTATTTATTCACATTTTGTTTATTTAATTTTTTGTTTGGTGAGAATCAAGAGCCTCACGCATGTAAGACAAGTGCCCTACCACTGAGCCACAAGCTGGCCCATTCATTTGCATTCTTTATCCTTGCCTAGAATATTCCATCCTTTCAGATGGTTCAGGAATGAATAGTTCTACGTTGTAGCTACTTGTGCTTCTCTGTAAAACATTCTGCCTGGCAAGCTCCTTACTCTGAGCTTCTGGGAAGAGAATCCCAGGGTGAAGATGGCTGGAGGCCTGGGATGGCAGACATTTCTGGAAGTTGATACTGTCGTCAGGGGTGAGCTGACAGAGGCCTGAATCATACCACTTTCAGCAGCTGGGTTGAAGAGGTCAGTTGTACTTCCGGCTTAGCTGCAAAGGAATTCACAGGACCAGTAATTGGGCACCTGGAGAAGGACACTGAGAGGAGGGGCTCAGAGAGGGGCTGGGAAGCTGGTGGAGATAGCGAGGTGTAGGTTATGGATTCTTGAAGGAATCATTTTGGTGGCCTCTTTGCTCTCCAAAGGAAAATAAACAACCTACTTCAGTCTCTTGCACCCACTGGCGCTTTAGAAAAATTCCTTTTGATTTCAAGTCTTTGATCCCTGTTGAGAAGTCACCACCCTTGACAGGGCCCACTTTTTCAGCTGCTAACAGCCTACCGCTGCTGTTGTCAGTGAAAGACTTGATAGGGGAGTCTTGGAGAAGGGGGAGGGTGTGACTGCTGAGAAGAGAGATCATGAAGTGCAGGCCTGGGCAGTGTGTCTGAGGCCTGGGGTTCTCTCTTCTGGTGCACGCCCTTGACATGCCTCTCCTACGCCGGCCGTGCGCCTCCATCGCAGAAGCCTCCGGTGTTACGTGTACCCACTTCCTCATCCTGGCTGCAAGGGCCAGTCCTCACCCGCTGCTGCGCTTGCTCCCCGCGTTTTGATTCTTACTCCTCCCCTTTCTTCCCAACCACCCTCTACTCTCTCTTCATCTCTACTTCAGCTTTTTCTCTGTGCATCAAGAGATCAGCATTTGAGGACAACACTTAAGGATATAGAGTTTTTCTTCAAATTAGATTTCCTTTTAGTATTTTTTTTCCCCTCAGACATGTATGTATGCTACTCCCTAATTTAGGATTTCACAAGACTGTCTCCCTGGAAACCGAGTGATCATATTAAACACAAAATATGCTTAAAATCTTTGGGTAGTTACTGCTGGTTTTTGCAAAAATTAAAATCGTGTGGGTGGGTAGTTGACTGGGTAGTTGTGGTGGTGGGAAACTGGCGTTTGGAGTCACACCTGGTGGTGCTCAGAGGCTGCTACTCACGGTGATTAGGAATCATTCTTAGGGGGTACTTGGAGGACCATATGCAAGTCCCAGGGCTTGAACTAGGGTCAGACATGTACAAATCAAGTCCTATCTCTCTGTCCATGGTTTCAGGACATGATCACCCCAAAAGGAAATACCCTGCACTCATTAAGCAGTTGTTGCTCATTTTTCTTTTCTCCCCATTCTGACATTCACTGATCTGCTTTCAGTTTCCATGGAGTCACTAATACAATCTTTTTTATATCAGTGGAACTTGATCGTAGGTGGTGTTTTGTGCCTGGCTTCTCAAGTCAAGCTTCGGTATAGACACGGGGTTCTTACATCTGTACAATGCTGCTGTTCCCTCAGCTCAGCTCTTTGGAGTTGGCCAGACACCATGCATGACCAACAATGAAAGACATATCTATCTGGACATGTTAGAAATAACATATAAGGGGGCCAGAGAGAGTGTAGTGGGCAAAGTGCTGACCCAGGTTCGATCCTCAGCTTTCCGTGTGGTTCCCCTAGTGCTGCCAGGTGTGACCCCTGAGATCAGAGCCAGTAGTCAGCCCTGAGCATTGCTGGGTTTGGCCCCAAAACATCCGTACACATATGGTGGAATATTGTAGGAAAGGGTTGGTTGTGTCCACGTGACTTGACCTAGGATTTCAGGAAGCGTTCTTGAGCCAGATGGCTCACCCTTTGCTGAAGGTTTGTGTTTGTTTTTCACTCTCAGAACTTTATTATATGGAGTTTGGGCATAGGAGCAAACCCCTGAAACAGTTGCCCGGCTGCTTCAGGACAGTGGAACACAGGAGCCTTGGAAATGTGCCCTCACCGAGGTGAAGCCAAGCTTTGAGTTTTGAGGTGTTTCTTTTCTTAAAAGAGGAGCTGAACTGGCCAGATCTCTGAGCACATGTTTAGATTATTTTTTAAATGTTCTCCCAGGGCCAGAGAGATGGCACAATGACTAGGGTGTTTGCTTTGCGTGCAGCAAACCAGGTTCCATTCCCAGCATCCCATATGGTACCCAGATACTGCCAGGAGTGATCCCTGCACCAGGAATAAGCCCTGAGCTTGGCCAGGTTGGGCCAAAAAAAAAAAGTAAACTAAAAAAGACTTCTCATTTTTTTTTTTTTCCTTTTTGGGTCACACCCGGCAATGCACAGAGGTTACTCCTGGCTTATGCACTCAGAAATTACTCCTGGGGGTGCTCGGGGGACCATATGGGATGCTGGGAATTGAACCTGGGTTGGCTGTGTGCAAGACAAACGCCCTACCCACTGTGCTATCACTCCAGTCCAACTTCTCATTTTTTTAACCCATTGCTTCCCTTCTGACCTGTGGCCCTTTGTATGATTGAGGAGGGACTCCTTTTTCTCCCGCCTCCAGACCTTTGATTTTGTCTGGGTTTGGAACAACTCCCTGCCTCCTCTTTTTACTTCTAAGTAGACCTCAAGACTCACAGTTGCCCAAAACTCTCCCCGAGCATTTCAGCACTTCTTGCTGCCCAAACAGAAGTCATACTGCCTTCAAATTCTACAGATTTTAGAATTGGCAGCATTTTTTCCTCTGAAGTTTTATCATTTAAATTTTTCTTAATCAGATGATTGACACTTGAAGGAAGGGAAAATAAAGTTCAGCTGGTGGAGTAGCCCAGGACTACGAATCTGAGGGTCAGGTCACTTCTGGGTACAGCCACTTGCTGTACCCGGCCAATTGGAATCTTCTTATCTGTAAAAAGAGTAGGAAGCGGTGTTAGAGTGAATGTATTCATTTTCAATCTATTCTTATTACAGGTTACTAGAAACTTAGAATCTTGGGGAACACAACTTTATTCTCTTACAGTTGTAGAAGTCTGAAGTTCAGAGCAGGTTAGCAGGACTACATCCCCTTTGGGAAGCACTGGAGAGTGTTACCTTGTCTTTTGCCAGCCTCTAGACGCTACTTGCTCTCTCCATGGCTCATAGTTCCCTGCTTCAGCTTCACATCACTTCACATCTCGGCATCCACCTCTGTTTCTATGATGCTCCCCCTCCCCCCCTTAATAAGGACAATTGGGATTACCATGAGTCTACCCAGGGAATCTAGGCTAACCTCACCTCAAAGTTACTGTAACTGCATCATCTATTACCACTTAAGGTGTTTTGCTCTGTAATGTTATGATTACATTCTGGGGATTAGGACAGAGATGTTTTGGGGAGCTCTTTTACTGTGACTTCTTAAGTCTCTTTTGTCTTTAACATGTGTTCCTAAAGACATCCTTCTTCCAACACCTTAGCACTGATCTAGGCTCTTTTAGCTTCATAAATTATGTTATTCACAAGGGTTTCCTCTTCTAAGATTATTAGCAATTCTGGGGCCTGATATGACCTGGTAGAGCTATAAGCAGACCTTAGCGTCGTGATCCCATGTTCAGGCTTCATTGAGTATACTCTTGCTCGCAAAGTTTGGACAGTGCTCCTCTGTCTTGAATTTTGTGCCTGCAAATTTTGAAGGTCGTGGTAATTTTTTTTTCCAATTTAAAAAAGCCTCAACAAATTCTGTTTCTTATAGTAAGGGATGGGCTAGAGCAGTAGCACAGCAGGTAGGGCGTTTGCCTTGCACACGGCTAACCCAGGTTTGATTCCTTCGTCCCTCGGAGAGCCCGGCAAGCTACCTAGAGTATCCTGCTGTCATGGCAGAGCCTGGCAAACTACCATGGCGTATTCAATATGCCAAAAACAGTAACAGCAAGGGCTGGAGTGATAGCACAGCGGGTAGGGCATTTGCCTTGCACGCGCCAACCCGGGTTTGATTCCCAACATCCCATATGGTCCCCCAAGCACCACCAGGAGTAATTCCTGAGTGCAGAGCCAGGAGCAACCCCTGAGCATCACTGGGTGTGACCCAAAAAGCAAAAAATAAAACAAAACAAAACCAAAAAACAGTAACAAGTCTCACAATGGAGACGTTACTGGTGCCCGCTCGAGCAAAATCGATGAACAACGGGAGGACAGTGCTGCAGTGCATAATCAGGGATAATTTTTAGACAAGGCTGTTAATTATTGAGTGATTCTGCCATATGATTAACAGTCTCTCTGACTGTGTTTCCAGATCCTCTTGCATAAGCTAAGGAGATATGTTGTTCAGGTGTTCAGTTAAGCTGGAGAAGCCTAATAAGTTTTAATGCTCAACTAGTTTGTCTCACCTGTAATTGCTACTTAATGTTACAGTATTCCACAGCAGTTGAGATTGACATTTACTGGGGGAGTCATGCTCTCTTTCCCGCCATGCCATTAGCATGTCCACCGTGGGTGGCCAGCACTTCCAAAGCCAGGAGAAAGCATCCGTTATTACACAGCAAATTTTTTTCTGAGTGTTGAGGTTACTTTGGACCAGAGTCTGAGAAATGTGCGGTGGGAGTCAAGCAGAACTCAACCTGGGTTTTAAAGTTTCCTTTTCACTTATTTTCTAGATGCACCCACTGGGTCTGTGTAATAACAATGACGAAGAAGACTTGTACGAATATGGCTGGGTCGGAGTGGTGAAGCTGGAACAGCCAGAATTGGACCCGAAACCATGCCTCACCGTCCTCGGCAAGGTAAGCATCAGACCCTCTGAATCACTCTTCCGTTCCTCTGATTCCCCCACTAGTGGGTTCCAGAGAAGAGCCTTGTTGGCACAACGCTCTTTGCGAGTTGCAGAATTGTGGGCTGAGGACTCAGATATGTTTTGGAACAGCGCAACACGCAGCACTTAGCAGCCTGGACTCTATTGGAGACAGCCAACCTCAGAGTTGGCTCCACTTCTAAATCCCCTGGGTGGCCTTGGGCAAGTTACTTCCCCTCAGGAAAATCTCAGTTTCTTATCTGTGAAGTGGACCGATAATACCTCATCTTACACCCCAGGGGCCAGATTTTCCGGAATTCTGAGACTGGGGAGTTCAGAAAGGTATTAAGGTGCACATATTTTTCATTAAGTGACTCCCAGGAGATCTGGGGCAACGCTCTTTGTAATCAAACACATGCATATTTGTGTAGTCAGCTCTATGGATACTCACATCAAGTGGGATGACTGAACCTTAAATAGCCTAGTGCTCGTTTCAGGGAAGCTTTGGAGAAATGAGTTCATGTACATTCAACTTGGTTGTCAGGTAAATTACGGGAAAACTATTGGGCTCCCATGTTATTTTTTGTTTGTTTTCTGAGTGGCAGATAACTACTGTGGTTCTGTATTAGAATTTACCTCTTAGGGTGGTTAAGAGGAGAAAGGAGATACCATCATCTGCACACAGATTTCAAAAAAATCTTTATTGCTATTGAGTGTTTTCATCCATTTAGAAATACTGAAAAAATAGACTTTTTTTCCCCCCCGGTCAAGAGAGTCATCATTACCTCTGACTGCATTGTAATTCAGAAGTGAGTCCAATTTGGAAAGTCATCAGTCTCAAATATGACCTCAAAATATGACAGGTAACAACCTGCTTTAAACTGGATTGTTTTATTAAAAGGAAAGGCTGGTTCCAGGAGGTGGTTCAGCAGTAAACACAGGCCAAGCACACATGAGAATAAAATAATTAAGAGAAAGTTACTGGGGTGCTTTGGGTCAAAGAAGATGTGGTTTTGAGGAGAGGGCTGGGGATATGGCTCTCAGCCTTACAGCGTATGCCTTAAATATGTGAGCTTCTGGGTTTAATCCCCAGCACCACAAAAGAAAGGGAGAGAGGGAGGGAGGGAGGAAGGTTGATTTATTTATTTTTTTATTTTTGGCTTTTTGGGTCACACCTGGCCCTTCTCAGGGGTTACTTCTGGCTTTACACTCAGGAATTACTCCTGGCAGTGCTGGAAGACCGTCTGGGATGCTGGGGATCGAACTTGGGTCAGCCGTGTGCAAGTCAAAGGCCCTACCCGCTGTACTGAAGGGAACACTTCCCAGACTTGAAAATACCTCGACAGGTTGTCTGTTTTTTGGCCCAGGAGATCATCGGGGGTCTAATGTGTCATTTTTGCATCCCTCGGAGTACTTGTCACATTCTCCTCGCGGGGGGGGGGGGGGGGGGGGGGGCGATGAGAGAATCCCACAGAATTACCTGTTTGGTTTACAGTTCACAAAGTTGAGCCCAGGTGGTTTAAGTGACCCAGGCCCTGGTCTTCCTCCTTTAAAATAGTTGGCAGAAGTTGCTTAATGATGCTAGGAGAGCAGTGACTCCCTTGAGACTCTTTCTTTAGTGTTTTCTTAGGAGAAATGCCAGCTGCATCCAGAGGTTATGAACAGTGCTTTCCTTGTGACTATTACTCTCCTAATAGGATATTCTCTGCCGCTCGTAAGCTGTTACTCTGCAGAACTGAGCATCTTTGTTGAATTTGCTTTGCCCAGCGACAGTTGTGTCTGTAAATGGTTTGGAATGAGCACCCAGGGACACCCCCAATTGTTCTCGTACGGCTTGGTGAAGTAGGAGGTACTCGGGAACCTGCCTGTTTCCCCCTGTACCTGGAACAACCGTGGAGTGGTTTTACTTGGAAAAATTTGTGCAGTTTGGCTGGAGCTGCTGTGGGCAGGAAATAAAAACCTTAGACACATATTGAATCATTAGGTACTTCTTGAGTTTACTCATTCACCAAATATTTATTGAATCCAGGGCCCCAGCAGCTAAGTGTGTGGTTATATCTGCTTGGAAAGCAACAGAACTCCTCCATCACTGTGCCCCCACACCTCCTTGTTTAGAAAGACGCGTGGTAGCCAGGCAGTATTTACATGCGGTTAGTTACTGAAATTTGGCTTACCACCTGAATAAAATCATTAGCGAAAGTGCTTGGACCAGACAAAGCAAAACAGTTTCACGTTTGTTTAAAATATGCGTTTTGAAGGGTCAGAATGACACAATACATACAGTACAAGAATGAACGCACTTACCCTGCGTGCAGCCAACACCAGTTCAATCCTAGGCACCTTTGAGTGAACCCTGAGTACAGAGCCAGGAGTAGCCCGGGAGTACTGCCAGGTGTGACCCAACTGCCCCTCCCCCCCCCACACACACACACAACAAACCTACTGGGATTGGTGCAGAAGGTCAGATGAGTCAAACATCTCTCTCCATCTCCTCCCTGTCCGCTTTGCCCTCTCTTCTTTTTCCTGAAGTATAGTTATGGTTGGCTTCCATCTTATTAATCACAAACTGTGTTTTCTGGTCTTTTCTGAGCCCTCAAGGGCAGTCAAGGACTAGAGTTAAGGAAAACAAACTGATTTCAAGGTCAGACTGATCTCCTGCTGATAGCATAGTTTTCCATTATGCGTGTGCATGCGGGTGCACACGCGAGCCAGTGAATGAACCCAGGCCTCACACATCCAGGGCATGCTCTCTACCACCAAGCCTCATCCGGGCTCTCCCTGGTGTCCTCCTGGCGGCTCTGGCAGTAAGGAAGTCCAGGCAGTGGAGACAGGCACAGAAAGCAAAAACTAAAGCCAAGCCGATGTGGGGGTGGTAGGAGGAACTCTGCCATGCCTCCCTATAGATGTTGAGACTTGTTGGAAGACATCGAAGGGAGGACTCTGTTCTGTCAGGTGTTCAGAGAAAAGCCTGTGGGAATTGGAGAAGGCCAGACACGGGCCCCTCTCCCTCCCTCCTCTTTCACCTTCATCATCCACCCGCCCACAGAAAATGCCATCGGGCAAAACGTTGGAATAAGAGAGGAATGTCCTAAACTTAAAAAAAGAAATGCAAATACCTCTCCAGGAGTTCAAATCAAGTCTTATTTTTAAAGCAATAGACATAAACTCATCACCTTGGTTTATTACTAAGTGCTTTAGAACTTGAAGAATGAAACACTGTAAACTCAGGAGAGAAAAATGATTATGATCCCTCGTAATCTTTTTGATTCTGTAGGAGGCTGTGCAGACAATAGGTTCAGCTCGGGAGGCAGAGTTGGGGTGAGGGTGAAGACTCTACGAGGCACAGTAGGCCAGGCATCACGCCAGGCTCTGTCTCACCCCAGGCTTGAGGCAAATCACTTTAGCTTTCTGGGTTTCTCTCTATCCCTTCATCGGGAGAGCCTGGACTCCTTCCTTGCCCTGATATGATTTTGGACTTGTGTATCACAGTTAAGATATTTCCGTGATACTCTAGTTTGGAGACATTCTAGTGGTAGCATTGAAATACAAACTGCTCCCTGTGACTGTTTCAAGCCCTGGGAAATGAAAATAGAATAAAATGAACATTTCTGAGCTGCAATTGAAAGTCAGGGTCTTCAGCCATCCTCAGAGTGCAGGAGTCTGTTTATGCCCCAGGCATTTAAACTTTCAGATTCACAGAGAGTTTATTAAGCATCTTGCATTGCTGGTAAGAATTTGAAAGTTGACTTTAATAACTTTGGTTTCTGTGACCTTTCAACCTCGTGGAGAATCTGATGGCTGGGAACACAGAAGATGTGCTGGAGTTTCTAACAAAGCTATTCAGCCTCAATTGTACAAGTGGAGAAATTTGAGGTAAAAGAGTCCATCTGAGGGGCCGGAGCGATAGCACAGCGGGTAGGGTATTTGCCTTGCACGCACCCGACCCGGGTTCGATCCCTGGTATCCCATATGGTCCCCCAAGCACTGCCAGGAGTAATTCCTGAGTGCAAAACCAGGAGTAACCCCTGAGCATTGCTGGGTGTGACCCAAAAAGCAAAACAGAACAAAAAAAAAGACTCCCTCTGATATCCCGGATTGGAGTGGAGTCTTAGGAAGGGTTTTGTAAGATGGGGTGATCAAAAGCTAAGGACTCGCCTCTTTCTGGTAGCTTGGAGAAAGGACAATGTGAAGAAGTTAATAAAAAGATAAGAAAGGCAGGGAGTTGCAGGTCAAGCAGACTCAGACTTGACCTAGCTACCTAAGTCAAGTAATTTCAGGACCAGAAAGATATAGTGTAAGAGTTACAGTACTTGGCTTGTGTGCGGCTGACCTTGGTTCAATCCCCAGCACCACATTATGGTCCCTTTATCACCTCCAGGAGTGATGCCGAAGCACAGCCAGGTGTGGTTCACTCTGCCATCTCCCTCTCTCCCCCAACCCCCAGCCTCCAAAATGGGATAATGTTGGTGTAAAGGGCCTTACTCTCACTCGGGCTTGAGTTGCCCTTTGACATTATGGTGAAGGTTCTTGAAGATGGTAAATGCCTGATGAGGGTATAAAAACAGCTGCTAGTGGATAGGCAGCGTCTTCCTTCGTGGTCAGATTTAGATCATTTCCAGATTCTTACTTGACCATGGGGAAATTGAGCCCCAGACACATAGAAAATGTAGCCTGAAGATCCAGCAGCTCCCTCTAGGCTGAGCTGAGATGTGAGAAAAAGACAGTTCTCCTGTTTAGCCGATACATGTTATTCCCTTTGCCACCTTATGTGTTTGCTGGCTTTTCTGGATAAAAATCGGGTGCTGGCCCAGGGCTTCCCTTGCATGCATCTTCCTTACTGAAACTCCCCCTCTTCAGTCATTCACCTCCTTGGCAGAAGATACAACCCCCAATATCCCTGAGCCCAACCTTGTTGTGATGTTGGGTCCAGGGTTGCAGGGAAAGGAATCCATGGTCCAGCAAAAGTTCACCTTCTGCAAATAGCTGGGATAG